CAGCAGGAAAGTCAAATCTCTCTCTTTTTTTTTTATGCATTACAAAACGGTAACATTTTTGATAAAGACAGTGGGAATTTCAACGGAGATTCGTTGATTTTCAGTAGAACATTAGTCGAATCGAAAGCTAGCAACTGTGTTATGTACTCTGAACTTTTAGTAAAAGCTCACTCTGAAGAGTGAAATTTCATTCTTAAAGATTGAAAATTGAGCTATTCTTTTCTAAGTCTGGCTCAATTTTCCCTCTTTGACGGAAAGAGTAAAAACGGAATTCATATATGTATGTGATACAGAATAAAGCAAGATAGCAACAGCTCATTTTTTATTTATATCTTCTAATTACAAGGAAAATTAAAAATACACGCGATGGTTCTTAAAGGAAAATTAAGAATGCATAAAGCATAATGCCTCTTCTTTTCATAAACCTACAATAACTTGCAAAAAAAGAAATATTCTCCCTACAAATCCGAATACGTTAAAAGATCCCGTATGAGGATTGTAAAAATAATCGCGACTGCGTAATACCTCGGGCTTTCGGATTAACTTCTATCTTCTCTTTTATTCAATTATAATGAATAATTTCTTGTGTTTTTACGAAATATTGCTAGCAATCTCTACAGGCTTTTCTAATTCTTTTGTGCTGAGGCAATCATTACACGTTTCGCAACAACATAACGTAAGAAAGATATTGCTCTCACGTTTGCACCAGATAACTTACGTGTTTATGATTTTGAACGAATGTAACGAACAAAAACCAAAAATCGAGATATAAAAGATTAAACAAGTTCTCGTGGTTCCGCGTAGCAAAGGATCTCGCGTGCTCGCGAGTCTCGCTAGATCGTGTAGTCACCTCGCACTCAAATTAGACTAACGCCCGGAGTGTCGTTCGTGCAACTGTCTCGCGTGTGCAAAAATCTCCCGTACATGCATTCGCATATTTTAATCTCACGCTAGACTCTTGTAGTCTGTTATCTCATTTGGCCCCGGAGTCACAATTCCCTTTGAAAAAACTAGCAAACTATAGCCTACTCGGCTATAAGTATAAAGCACGCCTACAAATTAACGTAAACGTTTTATATTTAATAAAAAAAAATAAATTAAAAGCAATTTTATTGAAAATTAATATTTATTTTTATAACAATTTTAATATTTCAAGTTTAGTTCTTTGACTTTTCCAGGAACTTATCGCTTTTTCCAGGAAAATGCAATAAATTGAAGGTGCTTTATACTTATGGCCGAAGCTGTAATTGCAAGCACTTATCCGGAGGAAATCGCGATTAAGATTTAATAGATTTTCACTAGGAAAAGGTTGACGTAAAATCGTTAAGGAATCTCTAAATCGAAGAGAACAAAGTTCGGCATCGTTCGGTATAAATTCTAGAACGTAGAATAGAGCAAGAAAGGCTATCTCGTGAAATCCGCGGCCGAAGGAAAGCGTTATCCGACACCATACAGTAGATATATGTACGTCGTGGCAAACCGTTCACCGAATTTTTTCGCTCTCGCGGTTACTAAGTTTCCTTTCGAACGGGACACAACAACGAAGCAACGTTTTGAGGGCGCGCGCATGCAATATTCTTGAGAGTAAAAGAAGATGCCGTAATTGATGTAACGAGCTCCATTCACCATACCGGGGATAAGTGGGATCGCAAGTGCGTTCCATCCGAGTTCGCGGTTTACAGCGAAGGTTTACGATGAAAATTTCCTTCCGATAATTTCGCACTGCGATCTTCGTTTACGGGAGATATGCTTCTTCTTACGCGCGGTCTTTTAACAGAGTTTCGTCACGGCGATCTGTGAGAAAACGGTGGACTGTTTTAAAACGGAAACTCCACCGGTCTAGCGTAATTCTCACGAATTACATAATTAACGTCGCGGTGGAAACCGTAACGCATTGATGAATGAGACAAAATAACCGGACGCGCGATTCGTTTTCCTATGATTTATCGATACAACCGCTGAAGTACAGTAGCGTATCAGTTATGAGCTGCGATTTCCAAATTTATTGCTAACTATTGTAGATTCTTGTCTAGTTGGTATTATCTGTCAAAACAATTTACGCGTTATATTATATAGGGAGTAAATTTGTGGAATGATTAATTTGTTAAATACACTAAATTGATTAAATTCATAAACAAACCGACCGTAATTACTGACAATTCCAATTACAAATAGAGAATCATTTAGAAATTATTCATATAGTATTTATATTATCATATATTATTTACATAGTAAAATGATAGCAGCGTATTAGGTACACAGTTTCGCATGCAGACACCCGAAAATGATATAAGGGTCAGGTCGCTTTTGTCCGAGGAAAAGAACCAGAAGTGGAACATCGATAGGCTTTGTTCTCACGTGCCGTAAAGTCTAAAAAGGCAAGCATAATCTCTTCGAAGTAAGTTGAGTCACGCGAAGATCGGAGGAAAGTTTTTGTGGAGACTCAGGCTCGATTGCACCAACATTACTTTGATTTTAAGCGAGGCTTAAAACTTTTTAAAGCCAAAAGAAAGAGAGAGAGAGAGAGAGAGAGAATTTTAAGCCGTGTTTAAAGTTAAACGTTGATGCAATCAGGCCTTAGACTTTTACTCATATCTGAACTATACATATATTGACGTTTACTTTTCTATCTAAGATACTGGGTTGTATCAGATTCAATTGTATCAAGATCGAGTTGTTACTTTATCAGACGTGGCATTAATTTTGATTATACAGCATTAATTATGAATTCCGTTCTATAAAATTTTATCCCTATTTCTTTGATAATCGGTAAAACATGGAGTTTTCATTTAAATATAATGATATGGTTGTTATATTGCGCAAATTCTATCTAATCATCTAATATACAGGTTATCATGTTTTTTTTATTAAATATTTTCTTTTGGCATAATAATTAAAAAATTTCTAATCCATATATAAATCATGGATTTATATATAGATTAGAAATTATTCATGTTCAATTCTATATTTTCATTGTACATTGTACAATATACATACAATAACTTTAATTTTTGTCGTACACTATCGCTAATTATTATGCATTTAAAAGATCATATCAATTTCAAAGCGATTAATTCCACACCTTTGTGACCTTAGATCCGCCGCTAAGTAGCGTAAAACGCGGCAGTCATATAAATATACGTAACATTGATCTTAGATAATAATATTCCCGGAAATATGTTACCCAAGTCAGTATTATTCAGGAACTACATACTGACGTTTGCCTGTCACGTATTTCCACAACGGCTGAATTACTTCACTTTCCGCTATCTGCCTTATTAATCGCGAAAGTTCAGTCGTGTCTCGGTCCTGCGCTATCTAAGTTGGAAATAAATCAGTACTCGCGGTAGGACACACCGTTGTGAAACACCAGTGGTAGGTTTTGAAGTGTCTTGACATTACATATGTATAACAAAAATTCAGACTTTTGATGTTAATCGATATAATATCATAATTAAAACGAAATTATCTAAATATGATTTTAAAAAGATGTTATCGATAAATTCAGCAATCGATTTGAATCTTTTGAGATTAAGGCTCAGTTTCACAACTCACGGTTAACTCTGAACCGAGGTTCTACTTACTCATTATCTCTTTCCAATTCTAGAATTGGAAAGAGATGAGAAACAAGTTGAACTTCG